GGTGTGGCCAGCTCAGCCCACCAGGGGGCGGGGCTGGCTGGCATGTGGTGCTGGGGGATTGAACCGCGGTCCCTGTGCTTTGCTACAGCTTGTTCTAAGTAGGTGCTTTAGACCACTGACCATCTCACCAGCCCCATTGCTTCTTGTTGCATCAGCAGATGAGGGAAATGTTGTACTGTGCTTTAATACCTCTCCCAAGCAAGCAGTAGTGAGATTCTGAGCCACCAACCCTGTGGTCCACATCATGGCAGGAGGGATGTGCAGCCACAAAAGCCCTAGCATAGTTGACATCTCCAGTACCTTTCCATCTGGGTGACACATGACATGTGTTCTTTGTCCATTTAAACTCAGTATTTTTCATTAAGGAAACCCCTCAGATCAAGGCCACATAGCTTCCTGACTTGGTTCAGGATTCCAAAGTAGACCATTTTTTAAAAGAGAAAAGCCAGGCCTTCCTGAACTCATACACACAAAATGTCTTCCTCTGCACCTGATAGGCCACTGTGCTTCTATCAGCAGATGAATAGAATTTCCTAAAGTCTAAACTGGTTGGTTTTGATTTGTTTGTAGACAACTGTGAACATCAGTTAGGCGAGGATGATTCGGCGGGATCACTGAGCCTAAGGTAACACTGATCAGGGAAAGGGATGATTTGGTAAACTACAGAGAGGGACCAGAGAGTCTGATAAAGAGGCCAACAGACAGAACCACTGCTGGCATCCCGCAGACCTTGCTTGATGTGTGGGTTATTTTCTGCATGTGTGGTATTTGAGTCTGTCACACTCAAAGGTAAAGACACAGGCACAGGAGCATCTTGACTTTTCAGCAATAATTCATTCTCTTGTGGATAGCTGAGAGTCTTCATGAGATGTTTGCATTTTCAGCATGTTCTGTCTTCTCTTGATAGAAGGCTTTGTGGCAAGTGAATAAACTACTCTGTGTTCCAGATACCTATCCTAATGGTAAGAGAGAGGTGTCTGGCATTTTAAATACCTTTAAATACCTGTGTTCCCTGGGTGATTCAGTGCAAAATAGAATATGAGAAGAAAAGGTCACTGGTCACCACAAAAATGAGCTTAGTCATAGTTGGAAAGTATTTTGGACAAAGTTTCGTAGAAATCTACCCAAAGTGCTCATCATCTATCACTGCAATATCTATTTGCACCCATTCTTCTATCCCATCAGTGACAATCAAAGTAACCCCCTGACCCAGGAGGACACTGAAGAACTCAAGGGCCATGAAGAACAACCGGCTAATGGGTGCAAGCCAGCTGAGCGCCTTCTACATGATGTTCTTTCAGGTGAGGGAGTCAGCTGTCCCTGCTACCTTGTGTTTCTCTGAGGTCCTGGATCACAGGCTATTCCACAAGTTGCATTTTCCCAGGTTTATTCTGTCCCAGGACATTTGGGCCATGACAGGGTCATACTTCCTGGTAGGAAGACAGCA